GTGTTTTGATAGCATCTTAACTGTTGGAACTTTTTTACCACAAATACTACAAGTATATTTCATCTCTTCATGTCGTAACTTGTGTTCTCGCACTTCATCGCTCCTAGAAAACTGCTTGTCACACACATCACATTTGTGAATCTTCTGTTTCATGCCATGCTCTTTCACACGATGATTTTGTAAAAAATTGCTGTGAAGGAAGTCCTTATCACAGATTTTACAAACAAATAATGGAATTTTTATTGGATGATTTTGTAGCTTGTGTTCCTGTAACTCTTTATGCATAAGAAAGCCTATATCACAAAATCTGCATTTTCTTTTGGAGCAAGTAGCTTCAGATAAATGGACTTTCCATGCAGCACAAGTGACAAACCACTTACCGCATTTGTCGCATGAAAATGGCTTTGATTTGTACGATTCTTCGAATAACCTACTTATCCGAGAGACTCGCTCTTCAATTGTCATTCTTTTGCGCACTTGTTTTTGACTAGTAACTGTCTTTGTGCCTCCAGCATTTTTATTGTGATTTTTTTTTTCATTATAAACTTCCTCTGAATCTGGCAAAATTTTATTTCTCATTATTTTTCCTGAATCTTTCCTCCTTTCATTTATGTTCACAATCTCTGAATCTGACTCGCTTGTCTCCATAGCAACATCATTGGCTTCCACATCTGTGTCAGTTGAGCTATCTTCACTCTTCACAAAAAGAGTGTTCTCATTTAAACTATTCCCACGAATCAAAACTTTATTTCCTATTACTTTTTCTGAATCCTTCCTCTTCTCATTTATGTTCACTATTTCTGAATCTGACTCGCTTGTCTTTGTAGCAACATCATTGGCTTTCACATTCGTGTCAGTTGGGCTATTATCACCCTTCACAGAAAGAGTGTTCTCATTTAAACTATCTCCACGAATCAAGAGTTCTTTTCTTTCTATCTCATCTGGTTCTATACTCCTGTACATCTCCTGATGGTCCTCAGAGTTGACTGTGGAGTGCAATGTAGTTTTGGAATCTAGATAAATATCACTTGACATTGCTGGAAATATTTCAACATCATGTGACCTGACTTTCAGTCCTGTGGTTTGAAAATCCTTGACAAAATCCACACTTCCCCAATATTCAGATGGATTATCAATTTCTGAGACAATGATGAAAACTCTGGTTTTAAATTTAGAAGTCAAATCCAATGCCTGAAACAGAATAAATACAGGAATATTAAACTGATAATGTTTTTGTGCATTCAAGATTTTTTGTTTTTTCATAAAACTTAAAAAGTCTATTTGCTCATTATTTAAAAGCAATGAGCTAGCTGATTGGGGGCCATTTTTTTTTTTATTCATTTCTATGCTGATTCTTCACTAATAAAAGTTTGTGCACATGTACTATAATCATATACTCAACAATAATAGATAAGATGATCCCCAGTAGCTCGTATTGCGGGTTGATAATGTGCAAATAACACAAAGATTTTCACAACAATACACCTGGTCAGTTCTGTGATATTTATTCCAACGTTTCTCCCTAGAATTAGGGCTTCTTCAAGAAAACTGTTATAAAACAAATAGATACAGTGTGTAAATGATTTTGATTGAAAAATGGTCCAGTGAAAATAACGTGATTACAAGTACAATGTATTTACAAAAATAATAATACTACAAAAACTTACCTCTGTTGGGATGCCATGAGATGTAAACTGGCATAACCCATACAGAGGGTGGAAACCTATAATCATAGGTAATACCGTAGAATACATTATTTTGTGATTTTCATCAATCAAATTTGTTGGCCAATTTGTCTAAAATCGTGAAATGGCAGTCTGTATACCTGTCCAGAACTGTTTCCTGGACATGAACAATGGCCAAGGAGAGCTTTGTATATTAGGAAAATACATACATGTAGTGGGTTATAGGTGCATGCCATTTTAACAACAGTTCCTCAGAGATGGCTGCATGATTACGTTCAAACTCAGTACAAATGTTAAATGATTCTATATACTGAATATTTGGTTGTACCCTGGTACGTTACATTTTTCCGTGATTGAACCAAATACAATCAGCTGAATATAGTACATTACCAGCAACAACTGATCACAACACACCATCACACTACTATCTTTGGCACAAAGTCAACTGGGAAATTAAATGGATAAAATTGGAAACAAATTCTGTAAAATAACAAGTCATTATTAATGACACAGTCCTTGTTGCAATTAGATGAAATCTTTATGCCCAAGATAAAATAATACACCCAAAACGCAAAATGTCTTGTCTTTTATGTGAATTGTTATGTACACATATTGCTTCTTGCATAATACCAAATTCTGCCATAAATTCCCCCTGGGCCGTTAAACCACAGTTTGAGTTTAAAAAATAAATAAAATGGGACCAAGAAATCGCCCAGGGCGTTTTTTTTTCAGCAGAAACGCAGCATGACCGGATTGCGCTACTGCGACCATTTGCTACAAAGCAATGCAGTTGTGTTCATTTTTATTTGAAACTTCTTTTAGAATTTACTCTTATGCTACTAATAAATTTAAAAAAAAATAATGGTATTTGGCGTACCTGGTTCGTTGAGGTGATTTTTTTGGGAGAAAGATGACACTGTAATAAAATTTTAGGCGGTCTATAAAAATTTTTTAGATTAGCTTCTGCAATAGTTTCTTTCGTCTTGGTTGGTCAAACTGCCGGCGTTGAAAGTCAACGTAGGTGGATTTTTCAATGAAAAAAGAAGTCCTAAAAAAAAAACCCAAATAAGGGCCAACCAGCCGGGAAATCGCTTAGGACGATTTTTTGGACGGGTGAATTTACGGCAGAATCCAGTATATGCAATCAAATTAGATATGCAAATAACTGGTCAGTAATTGTATAGTCAGTAGGAGAGTGAATAAGACTAATCAAAAATCAGATATGGTATAATATATGATCACAAAATTATGTCACATACCGGTATTACTCATTTTTGCTTATTTTAGTGAAATAAAATCTAATCATCCTACCTGGAGCCACTCTAGCATTGGTATTAAAAAATAAATTACGTCACAGTCAAATCTAGGTCAAAAGGTCATGTTGCGTGCGTATATTCAACAGCTATTCACTGAACATGCTGACAGGAGTATTTATCATCCCATATCACTTCAATCCTCCTACACAATTTGTAGGTGGATACTTGAATAGTTTACACAAAATTCATAATACTTTCTTTTTATTTTACAAAGAATAATGCCACCCACAATTGCTGTTGGCCCATAGTTCTTATTGTGATGATCTTTAGTCTTTGTGATTGTATTTTAGTAATTTCTGATAAATTTTGTGTCATTAAATTTGTCTAAAACATTAGGATTTTTATCAACACAGAAGAGCTATGGTTCCAATCCTTCCATAGACTTTTGTAACACAAACCTGCAACACCAAATGGCATGGCAAAAAGTATTACTTGAATAAGAACAATAGAATCTACTTTGAGCAATTAATGCTGAATATTCTTACAAGCTGGCAAGTTACAAATGTAGTCGTGCGTTGACAATGTTGCAACATGAAAGGTAATAGAAGAGGAGAGGAGATGATTATTAATCTTTTGTTCCAAGCCTCATCGCCAGTGTCTATTTTTTCATTTCATCATTTCTTTTTATTTACTCAACAAAACTTTGGACTGAAAAAAAATCTTGGTCGCAACTTGCTATGTGCTTGAGAAAAGAGGCAGCAGTAAATATGTGCAGAAAGGTTCACATGATCTTATATCATTGTCAAGGCCTGCCACCAGAAGTCAAATGCTTGTTAGATTTTAGAGTAGACTGTTACTTTCCTGTAGCAAAAAACAAAAAACAAACATGTGCTGTTGTCTTCTGATATATAATTGAAAGGTCCAAGTGTTTTTTGGTACTGTAGAATACTTTATTTTCGCTTGGAATTTATTTTCGCTATTTTCGCTGAAGGGATGTTTCCGTGAAAATAAAATCCAGTGAATATACTTTTTTTCCTATATTTCACATTAAACTCATCAAAAATCAGTGAAAATAAATTCCACACAAAACGCCCAAAAAGCCTTTTCAGCGAAAATTAATTCCAGCGAAAATAAAGTATTCCACAGTATATCAGACACTTCCAGATAAGACCAGTTGACTGATTACATGTACATGTGTGTTGTTTTGCATTGTAATTTGTACGCAATAGTTTCATAATTTTCTGGTCTATTCATAACAAAAAAACTTTTAAATACAAATAATGTGCATTGCATGTGTGAAATATGATGCTAGGACCCTGGTAGGATCATGGGAACTTGATATTGGGTTAGAATTCTAACATTAACACTGCAAATATTTTACAAGGTGATTTGTATATTTTGTGTGATTTTGATATCAATTTAACTCCGTAAAACTCGGACTGCTTCCAAACTGAGCTGAATATTATATTATTCACGTAATCGTATTACTGGAATGTTTACAGTGTAAATAAATCAAAGCGATCATGGAACAGGGGAGAACAATAGCGTCTCCTCTCCTATCCTACTAACCTCCACGGTTGCAGATTGATATGGAGATCTGGTCTTGGATCAGGGAAACATGAACTGGTAAGTAATGTCGACAATACCATAACAATACATCCCCAGAAATTCCCAACATTGTAGCAAATGCCTTTATGGAAATAAACACTTGGAAAACAGGATGGGTAGAAAGAATAGAAAAGATAACTAAAAACATGAAAACAACATGAAAAGAAGATCGGGGATGTACTCAGAGAAAATTATGTAAAAACATGGAGAAGGGAATTATTTAATGACAGCAGAATGAATGGAGCAACAAACAAACTAACTTCATACAGAAAATATGGAGAATTATTTAAATGATATAACAAATTTAAAATTAAGATGATTATTTTGCAAATTTAGAATTTCTGATCATAAACTATTCATTGAGACTGGCAGACACTAAGAAAATTCCTAGAAACGAAAGAATACGTAAACTCTGCACAGATGATAAAATTGAAGATGAGTACCATTTCATAATATGAAACAGTAAATATGACATACCCCAAAATAAATTATTTAAATATATACAGGGCAAAAAATCTGACTTCTTGAAAATGAATGAAAACGAAAAATTTCGATTAATTATGACAAGCTTTGCATGAATAGAAACTGCACAATTCATACATACATACAAGTATGAACTTAAGAGAAGAAACATAGCAACTCCATCAAATTAGTCTGCAGGTAGTTTTAATGCAATGGCACATTTAGTAGCTTAGTCGTTTTATTGTTATACTAATTTCCATGTATTTTTCTTCCATTCTTAGTTTAATACATTTATTCAATGTTTTATTCATGATTTTGGTGGATTGAACTGTACTTCAGTTTTGCTTTGTCCTCAATAACATTAGCTTATGGGTTTTTTTTCCTTGTTCTATAAATATATGTATTTAATGTATTTAATTTGTGATATTAGTTGTGTGAAGTATTATTTCTGTTTTACAACCATAAAATTACTCTCTGTAGTGTTGAATAAAATCATTATTATAACAATCAATACATGTACGTTCATTATACCAAAAGATCAACACAAGCAGAGCTATGAACCCACAGCTAATGAACTGACGGTTTAGGTAGCGGGCAATTTGAATATACAGCATGTACCTGGACGGATTTATAACTATAAACATGTATACATAAGAATCCTTGGTACCCTGAAACATGTACTGCGAATATAAGGCTGATCCCGTGACTATTCCGGAAACACCATTTTTAGCCTGGCCTGGCGGGTAAGCTGACTGCCAGAATGATCCTTTTGAGCCACACTGTTTTGTTGTACATCTGTCACCTACCTTCTGAAATAGTGTCCTCTTTTCTGTCAGAAATTCAGGTTCCTCGCACGACAAAAATGACTCCATATCCGTGCATCCAATTTGTTTCTCAGACGAGATCCATAATGCGATGAAGCCGCCAAACTTTGAAGTTAACATTAATTTCCTATTCATAGTAGTTTTTGGATTCGGGCTTACTCATAGACGCCAATGTAATACCTTTGCCTTGAAAAAAACATCTTTTCTTACATGTAAACAACCGAAACTGCATCATTCTAATGAATGTGGTACATTCCACACGATATGAGTTTATTTAACCTCAGACATGCGAATGTATTTTATATAACCACAGAACATTGAACTGACACTGAAAGTAAATTCGAATCTGACGATAATCTAAGCTACGTTCACAATACGTTCACTTGGCTCGTACCTTGTAAAGATTTCCCATATCAAATGAACTGGGACAAATAGAATTCAAAATTGACGAATGGTCAAGGTGCATTCAAAATTATATTTGAAAAATTACGGCAATTTTTGCAATAAATAAACATGGCTAATATGTGGTTAACCCTGGGTTGATTACATGTCATTGTGTGCTTGGCATGCTCCCTTGCCATATATTGTGATTATGATATGATTTTCACAAACACAGACATACTTTCTTATTAAGTGTAGTTCTCACAAACTAACTTTTATTTAAAAACATGAAAGTGAAACCAAAAATGATAAAGGAATGCAGCAGGAGTATATTTAAATGAATGTTTAATGTATGTTAAATGAACAAATACATTTACAGTGTTTCGGTTTAAGTATCTGACATTATAACTTTATAAGTTATTTTCTATTTTGTAAATAACAATTTTGGTTGTTAATTTAGCCAAGATTTGATGATAAACTATGAAAAAAAATGTTTCTGGGTAATTTGTATACTCAGTTTTCACCTCTCTGTTCCCTGCATAGTGTTATCGGTATGTTCTTATTACAAATGTATTTGCTGTTCACGCTTGTTATGCTGCCCTCAACGATAATTATTATTTAATATACAGTTCCAGTCTCTTGCTTCAAGCGGCTCAACAGGAACTCAAAACAATCACAGTTGTGACTGAAACTGGGTCTTCAAATTCACATAAAAATTAATTTTTCAAGACAATAACAGCAATATTATTTTTTTGGGGGAAAACTGATATACACTATAGTTCAATGCCTTTGGTAAAGTTTTTTTTTTACCAAGTGAACAAATCTGATAGAGGACCACAAAATATCAAAGCATTAGATTAGGGTAGAGAATACCCCCCCCCCCTAAATGAAAAGACAATTGAAAATAGACAACTGTAGATATTGTTATGAAATAACTAGTCCAGGTAAAAAGTGTCACAGCACTAATAAATGCTCTACGGTGTACATGAGGTACATCAAATAACCAGTAATATATGGTTTGCAAATATTTAGAATTCTCTAAAATGCTAGTCTAGCAAGAATTGTCTTTTTGATGAACTCTCATGTGTTTTCCAAGATTTTCTCTCAACTTACACCTGTAGCCACACACATGACATTGCCATGGTTTCTCATCAGAATGAACCATCATGTGTTTTTTCAGAGTGTACCTTAAAGTAAAGAGTTTATGACAAATTGGACATTCCTCTTTCTTGTCAGAGTGCACTGCAAGGTGTCCTTTAAGTTGAGCCTTATTTCTAAACTGTTTGCTGCAGACCTCACACTGTACTGGTGTTGACATGTGCTGGGTTCTTACATGGGCTCTAAGGTTATTTTCATGGGTGAATGTTTTACCGCAATGCTTGCAAGGTAGAAGTTCATCAAACTGAGAATGCACAGATGCCAGATGATAGCCAAGTTCATAATTTGACAGAAAACCTTTCTGACAAGTGGGACACTTAAGCAGACCTTCTTTAGTGTGGTCTCGTTTAATGTGTTGTTTTACATTGATTGCAGCTGCAAATTTTCGGTTGCAGATTTCACATTCATATGTTTTTCTATGCTGGTCTTC